TATAAAATGAAATATTACTTAGTCATAAGAAAAGATGAAATACTGCCATTTGCGACAACATGGACAGATCTTGAGATTATCATGCTAACCAAAATAAGTTAGGCAGAAAAAATTTAGAACCATATGATTTCACTCATCTGTGGGATATAAAACTGAAAGCAACAAACAAACAAAGTAAACTCATGGACACAGACAACAGTATGGTGGGTACCAGAGGGGAAGGGAAGTGAGGGTAGGATGAAGAAGATAAAAGGGGTCAAATATATGGTGACAGAAAGAGACTAGATTTTGGGTGGTGAGGATACAACGCAATATACAGATGATGTATTATAGAACTGCACACCTAAATGTTAAGTTATTAACTAATGTTACTTCGATAAATTTAATTTTTAAAAGAAAGATGAGTAGAAGAAAATATAATTTTCTCCATTTGAGCAAAAACAAGCTGGAACTAGAAACAGAAAAGAATTCACAGCAGCAACAACAAAATCTAGGAAATACTTAGGAATATGTATATAGGAGTGAAAAACTTTCCAATAAATCAGTCACAGGGAAGTGATATCTTCAGCCACCAGCCCCCAGGAAAGCACTGACAGCCACAAGATGCAGATAATGGAACTGCCTTCTAGGCCCTATTTGATCTAAGAGTTCCCCGGAAACATTTGTCTTTGTGTAAGATGTTTACAGCCAACATCTGCTTTCTGTAATCTTGCTTGCTTACTTGTTCAGAAGACCACCAGGATATGGTCTTAAGCTTTATAAGCTGCCTCCTCTGAAAGCTTGGGGCTAATCTCCTCTGACCCTGCGTGGTAGAGAATCAGTCGCCGGCCGGCTAATAAAGGCTCACAATTCATCTCAATTTGCTCCGTGGGTCTTAGAATTGATCGCGCCACAACATTTGGAGGCCTCAGCAAGATCTCTCCAGAGGGGGAAATCTCCTAAGACCCGTGACCCGGCCACCTTGGGCGAGGACCTGCCCCGTCCAGAAGACGGCTGCTGAGAGACGTTCCTCAGCCCCAGATGCTAGGCAGAATCGCCCAGGAGGGCAGGTGGACAAAAGGTTCAATTCTGTAGCAATTGAGCATGAGCCATCCAGAGCAGCTTCACCGGTGAGTCAGACTGCGCTTGGATAGGTAGGTGTCTGTCGGTGGGCCCTAAAGAGAACTAGTGGAAGGCTGGACGCGGCAATACTTCCCCAGTTCGGTCAAGGTCTGAGACGTCAGACTTCACTTCAGGTATTCAGATTTTTTGGGGTACGCTAGCATTTTATGTCATCTGTAGTTTGTCTTGTCTGTCTGTATTGTGTCTGTCCAGACTGGCTGAATGTACTGTTACTCCCCTATTGCCTTAGTCTTCATAAGTTTACTTATTTTGATTCTTTCCTTAGATTTGGCCTCCGTGGCCCCATCCGACTGGATGCTAGCTCAGAGGCTGATCCTAGCTCTGGCTTATTTGGCTTTTGTGGGGATTCTCTCTTTTCTTACCTGTTTTTACTAACATGGGTCAGGCTTCTTCCTCAAAATGTCCTACCTCCCTTCAGTGCCTCCTTAACCATTTTAAGGATTTCAGGAGACGAGCCCAAGCCTACGGAGCTAGTGTCACTTCCTTCGATCTTCAGAGGTTCTGCCAGTTAGATTGGCCCACATTTGGATCAGGGTGGCCATCAGAGGGGTCACTCAACCTGCGAACAGCCTTTCAGGTGCGGGATATTATCTATGGAAATCCTGGCCACCCTGATCAGGCTCCACATATTGATGTGTGGGTCGTATTGTTTCTGATGCCCCCAAGTACTTGAAGGGCTGCTGCTGTGGTCAAGAGTCAAAGGTGACTTCCAAGTCTGTCCTTCTCTCAGCACTGAAGGGGCCAAAAGAAAAACCGCCCGGATAGACACCTACCTCTCTTTACCCCTTCTTACAGGCACCCCCTGAGGACCCCGAAGTTCCTAATTCTCCCCCTTACTCCCCTTGTAACCCATTCCTGTCTCCATCTAACCGGGAGGCAGAACCCCTCCAGAGTCCTCCCCACACCTGCACTGGGACTGTGTACCGGCCCCCACAAGACCCTGATCCTGTTTCCGATTCTTCAAACCAGGCAGCAGTCCTGGCCCCACTCCAGCAATTGGCTCCCCCGGTTGGGGGAGAAACCCAGAGGCCATTCATGGTCTATGTCCCTTTCTCCACCAGTGATCTGTACAATTGGAAACACCAGAACCCCTCGTTCTCAGAGAAACCCCAGGGATTAACCTCTCTCCTAGAGACTATTTTCTTTACCCACAAGCCGACCTGGGCCGATTGTCAGCAGCATC